GGTCATGATCCCAGGGTCCTGGGATCGAGTCCCGCATCGGGCTCCCTGCTCGGCGGGAAGCCTGCTTCTCCCTCTCCCACTCCCCCTGCTTGTGTTCCCGCTCTCGCTATCTCTCTCTCTGTCAAATAAATAAATAAAATCTTTAAAAAAAAAAAAATTGGTCCTTTTGGCATTATGAAATCCATTTTTTTTCTCATAATACTCTTTGTCTTGAAGTTTATTTTTTCTCTGATATTGCTATGGCCACTCTAGGCTTCTAATACTTAGTGTTGTATAATACATCTTTTTCTAATTCCCTATTTTCAACCTGTATGTGTCTTTATATTTAAAATGATTCTCCTATAGATAGCCTGCAGTTGGGTCTTGTTATTGTCTTCATTCTGACAACCTCTGCCTTTTAACTGGCGTGCGTACTCCACTTATATTTAATGTAATTATTGGTATGGTTGGATTTAGGCATTAGACATTTTACTGTTTTTTTTCCCTTTGTTCCTCTTTCCTGCATTCTTTTGGCTTAGTTGAGTATTTTTTAGAATTCCATTTTAATTTTTTTTTTATTTTAATTTTTCTATTGGCTTTTAGCTATATACATCTTTGCTTTTTTTTAAGTGTTGCCCTAGGGATTACAACATGCACCCTATCTTTTTGCAGTCTCCTTAGAATTAATATTATACTGCTTCATATGAAATTTAAGAGCTTCCCAATTGTATCATTTCCTTCCCCACCCCATTTTGTTATAGTTGACATACATGTTGCATCTACATATATTATAAATCCCACAAAACACTAAGTTTTTAAGTAATTATGTGTATTTTAAAGAAAGATAAAAATATTTTGTTTACTAAAATGTTTACCTTTTTGGTATTTTTCTTTCTAAAGAGCATAGTTCTATCTGGTATCTTTGCCTTCAAACAGAAAGACCTTCTTTAGAATTTTTCTAGTGAGGATGTGCCAGGTAGGAATTCCTTTAGTTTTTGTTTATGAATATATCTTTATTTTGTCTTCATTGTTGAAAGATACTTTTGCTGGAATAGAATTCTGGGTTGACCATTTTCTTTTGTCTCCTAGAAATTTGAGCGATGTTTTTCAGGTATCTTCTAGCCTCTTTTAAAATTTTTTCTGATAAAAAGTCAGTGGTGATTTGTATTGTTCTCCTGTATGTAATTCATGTTTTTTTCTGTCTGCCTTCAAAATTTTTTTCATAATCCTTAGTTCTCAGTGTTTTGACTCTGATGTGCCTGCCTAGATACGGTTTTCTTTATATTTGTCCTGCTTTGTGCTTCTTTAATCTGTAAATTTAACTCATTATATTGGGGGCATTATTTTGATAAATATTTTTCTGTTCCATTCTCTTCTTATTGGACTTCAATTTTGATACTGTTCCACCAAACCAGGTCACCAAGACTCTGGTTTTTTGTTTTTCCCACCTTTTTTCTCTTCTTCAGTCTTCTTCAGTGTGGACACTTCACATTGATCTGTTTTTAAGTTCACAGAATCTTTTTTCTGTAAGCCCCAGTCTCCCGTATGCCAATCCAGTGAAATCTTTTAAAATTTCACATAAACTTTTATTTTTCTACAGGTATTTCCTATATGTCCATTCATTGAGAATGTATTTTTCTTTAGACCTTTGAGCTTAGTTTCAATAGCTACTGTTTGGTAATTATCACATCTGGTCTAGCTGGGGTCTCCTTCATTGATTGCCTTTTATTTTTTTTTTATTTTTTATTTTTTTTAAGATTTTATTTATTTGACAGAGAGGGAGAGGGAGAGAGAGCACAAGCAGGGGGAGCAGCAGAGGGAGAGGGAGAAGCAGGGTTCCCGCTGAGCGGGGAGCCTGATGCACGGGGCTCGATCCCAGGCCCCTGGGATCATGACCTGAGCCGAAGGCAGACGCTTAACGACTGAGCCACCCAGGTGCCCCTGATTGCCTTTTCTTTAAAGTTGGGTAACATTTTCTTGTTTCTTTGTCAAGTAATTTTGAATTACATATTGGATTATATGTTGTTGAGATTCTAGCTTCTATTACTCTGAAAAATGTTGTATTTTTTTGTTTTAGTAAGTAGTTAACTTGGTTGTACTCAAACACCATACTCTTTTTCCTTTGGGAGTGGGCAGCAACTTCAGCTGCTCTGTTCTAAGTCATTTAGCTTTAGCTGGGCTGCCTGGAGTCTGCCCTACACATCTTTAATTCAGTACTTAGCAAGAGATTTGGACAGATTTTCATATGTAGAACTTAGGGCTCTTCCTCTTGGGCTTCCTCCTTTGCAGGATTTCTCCCTCACTTTTCCAGCTGCTGTGAAACTCTGTCCTCTGGTTCCTCGGGCCAGTATTGTTATAGGTGATTTTTATCACCACTCCCAGCAACAACTGGGATCCTGCTTCCAACTAAAAGGTGTAAACAGGAAATTCACCTTGTCTTATTCCTGATCTCAGTATGAAAAAGCTTTTACTATTTCACCATTAAGTATGATGTTCCTTCCTTTTTTTTCTTTTTTCAGATACTCTATCAAATTAAGGGAGTTCCCTTCTTAGAAGAGTTTTTTTCTTTTGTTTTTAAAATAAGAATGAATGTAGAAGTTTACCAGATGCTCACTATGCACCTCTTAAGATGATCATATGACTTTTCTCCTTTATTTTGTTAGTGTGGTAAATTACGTTGATTGATTTCCTTGAATAAATCCAATTTGCTTCTGTTTGCTTTCCTTGAATAAATCCAATTTCGAAGTGATATGTTACTCTTTTTATATATTGCTGCATTTAGTTTGGAAAATTTTACCTATTTTTAATTGCTCTCCCGCTCTCCACCTCTCCTGCCAGTTTGTCAGGTTGATTTTGAGTCTGTGAAGACTTCACTTAGCATTTATACTGAATAAAAGAATAACATGTTAATTGCTTCCCAAAAGAAACCTAGACAGTCAGCTTGCACACCACCTAGGAAAGAAGTGTCATAAAGCCTACAGCATGATTTTCCCGTTTTGCATATTAGAACTCACTTTGATAAGATGTCAGCTTGTGGGGTGGGTTTTGTGGGGGTTGCTGTTTGTGTAGTTAATCTCAGAGCATCCCAGTTTCCGGCCATGGAAAGATGTTTGCTATGATTGCCGTGACCCTGCTGGAGAAGAGGTAACCAAATTCATTGCTTGTGGTGCAGCTCCATCTGTTTGACATCGATGTTCCCGGGAAAATTACATTTCAAGAATCTAAAACGCTGAGTCCTGGTGATAGTTTCTCCACATTTGATACTCGTAAGTACCAGACATGTTCACCTGTTTTAGTAGTATCAGTAGAAGAGGATCAGGTGTTCCCTTTTTTTTTTCCCTCGTATGTCCCTCCCCCACTTCTTTACATACCCTGACTGCAACACCAGAAGTGAGACGGGTGGAGAATGGTCAGAGATCTAGAAAGGGCGGACTGAACAGAGAACAAAGGGTTTGACCTGATTTTGCTCTACCATTTGGTCACAGCATGGTATTAGCATGATTGCTTCCAGAGTTTATCTCTTAGGCTGTGATTGAACACCTCCACACAGATAATAAGCATTCAGTTAGAATGAATTTCTCATTTCTTTTTTTTTTTAAAGATTTTATTTATTTATTTGAGAGAGAGAGAATGAGAGACAGAGAGCATGAGAGGGAGGAGAGTCAGAGGGAGAAGCAGACTCCCTGTCCAGTCAGGATGTGGGACTCGATCCTGGGACTCCAGGATCATGACCTGAGCTGAAGGCAGTCACTTAACCAACTGAGCCACCCAGGCGCCCTGAATTTCTCATTTCTAATCTGAGATAAATGATGTCTTTATGAGGGAAAATCCAAGCGGGAATAAGCTTATACTTCTCCATCCATGGCCCGGGGTTAATGTATTGCCATCAGTGTTTTGAGATCTTACATGGAGGCTTTACTCTGCCGCACCGTGTTTCAAAAGGTTAACTTTTCATTTGTGCATTTTCTGTTTGAAAAACAGCTTACTGCAGAGTGGGCCTGGGCATTTGCTACGACCTGCGCTTTGCAGAGCTCGCACAGATCTACGCCCAGAGAGGTGAGACGGCACCACGACTCTGTGGTGTAGGTGCTTAGAGATTTGATTCTGGCTTGGTCTTTGTGTGTCGAGGGAGCCCTTAGGCAGAAAAACTGGAGAAGAGGTCTTAATCTCTCCACCCCATCTGATTCCTCAGACTTTTGCTGTATATGGACAGTATGGTTTTTCAGAGATTGTATTTCAATACACCCTGCAGCTAAGGCAGGAACCGTGCTCCTAAATCTGCTCTATTCTTTGAGCCCTTCTTGCTACCATGTTTGGAAAGAGTCACATGGAGCCCACTAAAAATAAGGATGTGGTCTAGGGTGTCTGTCATGGATTTCACACTCAGTAGTCCTAGATGTTGGGTACAGTAGAAATATAGTCTGTGACTTTTTGGTCCAGAGAAGAAATGTCCTACTGGCCTAGAAGAACACTGAGCCAAGTCAGAAGATCCGGGTTCTGCTTCCAGCTCTCCTCCTTAATTGACGTGATACTTTGAGTAAATTATTTAATTTTTAGAGCTCTGTGGATCTCAGGTTTTTCATAGGCGTAGTGTGTGGAGATTAAGGAGGGAGAACTTAGCTCTTCGTATGGTACTCAACAAATGTGAGCATCCCTGCTAGACTGTCCAAACTACTCTGATCCGGACTTGACTTTTCACTTAACAAAGTGGAGTGGGTGCAAACATTTTGATGGCCTGCTCAGCAAAAAAGGTGGATGTGCATGGGCTCTGGGTTGGCAGACCCTGTTGAGCTCTCTCAGTAAGCATTAGAGCACCTACTCTGCCCCCCATTTCACTTGAAAAGCATTAGTGAATGTGGTCCTTGGCCGTGCGGAGCTGACCATATGGTGCTGAGAGAAATTTGAATGATTTTTTTTTTTTTTAAGTGAAGTCACATACCGTGGTTTTGGTCATCAGTACCACTGTTTTTGAATGTATGTGTAGCATGTGTGTGTCTCTAAAGGAATTCAGAGCCATAACTTAATACTCCTGACAGTGTCCGGCTTGGCTGACATCTTTTCATGCTTGGGAAAGTTCGAGTTTGGTCCCCACTGGGTAAAGAACAAAATGGGGAGCTAGTGTGGTGGGGTGTTAACCTGGACCCACTCTTCTCTGGCCTTTCTCTCCCAAGGCTGTCAGCTGTTGGTGTATCCTGGAGCTTTTAATATGACCACTGGACCAGCCCACTGGGAGTTGCTTCAGCGAGGCCGGTAAGAAAGCCCCTCAGACATACCTTCAGGTGTCTCAGTGTTGCTTTGTGAAAAGATTTCCAGTTTGGTGGAAGTACCAGCGTTCCTGACTCAGAATGCTGCCCCTGACCCAGCCTGCTTTGCCATCCAGATGCAGTCGGAAGAGATGAATCAGCCCGTTGACTGTGCTCTGCAGATTGGGGTGCTTATCCCGCCCCCATCCTTTACGCCATTCTGCTCTTCCTGGAATACTCTGCCAAGACACTTGTTACAAGGTCTTGTTTTTCTAATCTGTAGTCCGAGGCATTGCACAGTGTCTTCGGCACGTCACAGTAGCTGTGTCCTGAGTCCCCTAAGGTTGGGGAGCGAGCAGTGAAGGGCAGCTAGCAGAGGTGGATGTAACATGGAAGGGAAGAAGAGTGTGACTGTGTGTGTCTGTGTAAAGTGTGCTGAAAACCATGAAGTAGTGGTCAGAAATGCTGGTTTTCTTCATTACAGTTCTGTTAATTGAGGTATAATACACTTAAAGAGAAGTACACCAATTTTAAGTCTGTAGATCAGTGAGTTTTCTGCACGTGTATTCACCTGTGACCAAGGTCAACACGGAACACTTGCAATCTCTAGAATGCTCCCTTTTGTTCCTTCCACCAACCCTGTCCTTGTTTGCCCAGATGTAGCCACTATTCTCACCTCTAAAAATGATGGTGATTTTTATCAGAGGAGGCAGCAGAGGTGTTTGGCTGGTTGCTTGGTGGAAGATGGGGTAGGGGCATCCGATACCATGTATATTAATGAATGCAGTCTTGAAGAAAGCAGAAAAGCTTGAGAAACATTGGAATGGCCTGGCATGGATCCGCTGATTGAGCCCGGAGAGCTCCCAGGTGAGGTGGCTTGATGTACCCAGGCTGCCACCTGAAATTCTTTTCTAATCTGAGCTGATGGGACTTCGGCCACTGGGGGCATGGAAGTCCCGTGCGGCCCTGCAAGGCGTATGGCCCGAGCAAGGCTGGCCCATTCTCTCTGGCCACCTTGACTTGCTCTTTTGTAGGTTAACAGGTTGGCTCAGGCCAGGGTGTCAACTGTGGTGGTGCTGACATTTTGGACTAGATCATTCTTTGCTGTGGGGGCTGTGCTGTGCATGGTAGGATGTTTAGCAGCATCCCTGGTCTCCATCTACTAGGTACCAGTAGCAGCCTCCTGTCACCAAAGTCAAAAAGTCAAAGTCAGTGTCTTTGGACATTGGCAAATGTCCCCACTGGGCAAAATCACCCCCAGTTGAGAACTGGTTTATGCATTGAGATACTTTTTGAAGAGAGGGTTTCATGGCTTTGGGTGTTTCCTTCCATGTCTGAGCCAGCCTACCCTGTCCTAGTTTTTAAAAGAAGGATCTGTACATTTGGAATAGAAAAATGTTGCCAATCGATAATGTATGAATTCTCTCTTTTTTGTCTGTTGACAACAGGGCTGTTGATAATCAGGTATATGTGGCCACAGCATCTCCTGCCCGGGATGATCAAGCCTCATATGTTGCCTGGGGACACAGCACTATTGTGAGTCCTTGGTGAGTTGGCTAAGCAGGGACAGGCTCCCCAGGAGCTTGAGAGAGGGGGCACTTGGGTGGGTGGGTTTTCTGATTCCCCACCAGCCCTGCCGCTCCCTCAAACCCCCATATCCTCACATGCCTGCCAGGTCTGCGCCTCATCTGCGAGAGACCCTTCCACTTGAAAACCGTGTGAGAAAGAAGTGGCCCTGCTGTCCTGACTGAGTATTTGGCCTTAGCCGTCTTCTGAGTGGCTCTTGTTGTCAGTCGGACTTGGATCACATGGGGGAAACAGGCAACACTGATGATTTTAGTAAAGAGGGCTCCCAGACTCTTGGCTTTTGGTTAAAATTTAAGCTGGGTGACTGGTTCTAGAACAGGAATTAGTTACAGGGCGAGGATTTTGCTCCCTGCCTAATGAATAGAGGATGGGGGAGGATGTGTTCAATTAAGGGGAACTCTGCCCTTGACCTCTGTGACAGGGACAAGCCTCGTCCTAGTGAGGCCGGCACCAAAGTCCACCCAGCACGCAGTCATTTGTTATCGTACGCAGCTCCTGGGCTGTAGTTGTGCGGTTTTCGTAGCACTTTTGCACACGTGGTCTCCATGTGAACTCAGAGACTTTTCCTAAATTGGGCTCCGTTTATAGATGGCAGAACTGAAGTTCATGGGACAAAGTGGTTAGGGCTGGTGTTTAGATTCAGAACTTTTGACTTCAGAACTTGGGTTTATTCCATACCACTTCTCACATATTTGTATGATTACACACACACTGATGTGTATTTCTATAATTTCAGGGTAAATAGACCAGTAACAAGGCTGAGAAGGGTTATAGATCACTGTGGGTCCCTGAAGTTCTCTCTCCTGTTTTTATAGGACCCAAAGATGAAAGTGTGTGATAGGGGAAGGCCTTGGAAGATATGACCAGGGAGCCTCGTGCACATTAGATTTGGGAGGCATTGGCAGGCTGGAAGGATTAACTGGCTTGAAGATTTTCTCCAACTTGGTTCGAGTTCCTCTGTCCAGATGTTGGTGATAGGCTTCCTGGCCTCTTGGGCAGCTCTGCTCCCTGCTGGTTCTCCCGATGAACCTTGTTACTGAGCAAGCTGGCTGCTTCTGAGACAAAGTAGTTGTACATGAATTATCTTTATTGGTTCCTTTTCAAAATTCTGTCTGCAGGATTTGGGGGGCCTTCTGGCTTATATTGACATCAGGATGGGTGCCTGGGGTTACCCCAGAGAGAGATCTTTGAATGCCAGGGCAAATGGGGAGGAAATAGAAAAGAATAAGAATTTGGTTAAATGGCATTAATGATGACGTTTGTAGCTCACTGGTGCCAGGAATTTGTCTGTGGCCATCTGGGAAATGGAACCATTTACTTTGTCAGATTTTTTGTTGGGTCAGATTATTTTGTGTTTTGGAGAAATTTCATTTCAATAGATGTCTTTGAAGTCCTGCTTTGGGCTAAGAAACTCAGGACTGGAAGGTTTTCCAGATCAGCCTTTCCCCAGATTTAGGCAGGAGGAGTGTTGCTATTTCTAAGCCTGGGGTTCCTCTCCCCTTGGGGTGTGGTTTCCCCACCACTTCTTTCCTTCAAAAAACTGAAACCCGATAACAAGATACCAGGGGCCACAAGCATGAGACCAGAGACCTAGGCAGCGCTGGGCTCTGTTCAGGCCCAGCCTCTCTGTCCCCAGGCTTGGAAGGCGCAAAGAGCCAGCCCACCCTCCCGAAAGGGTCTTACTATCGCACTCATGAAGTGACAGGACGGAGCTTCCCGATCTTTACAGGGAGCTCTATTCCTGGAGGTTTATAATCGTGGAATAACTACCATTTCCTAGCAGTTGGCAGTTTACGAAACCTACTGCATAGTCTTCTCAGTCCTCACAGAGCTCTTGTTTCCACTTTATAGGTTAGGGAACGAGCTTGCAGATGACTCGCCACAAGGCCACACAGCTACTTAAATGGTGGAGCAGGAATGTATGCCCCTCCCTTCCTGTCTTCAGTCTCCCGATGCCTTTCCCTGGGGCCCTGAGGTGGGAGGAGAGCAGGGATGTTAGTACCCACTCCCTCCCTCCGGAATCTCTTTCAGGGGGGAGGTCCTTGCCAAAGCCGGCACCGAGGAGACGGTCGTGTGTTCAGACATAGGTAAGGTTTGTCGTTGGCACAGCTTAGGTCCGTGGTGTCCCCATCGGTCTGGGGTGATTCCGCAGCTCTGAAGCTAATGTCCCCTGGAGGGCCTCCCTTGGGCCCCCCTTCTCGTTTATCCCCCTTCTCGTTTATCCTTAGGGGAACTAAGGATAACAAGCCCCGGGGGCTGTCTCTCAGCTTGAGTTTTCTTGGTTTGGTTTGAAATGACCCCAGGGACGGTGCCAGGCCACCTGGGCCTCCGGACAAGGCTGATATTACTGAGTTACTTGCTGAGATTCTGGTGGGTTTTATACTGTTTGTGGAAGAAATCCTCATTGGTTAGTGAGGAGTTACGTCTTAGTAATGGTACACTTTCCTGTTTTTGCAGACCTGAAGAAGTTGACTGAAATACGCCAGCAAATCCCCATTTTTAGCCAGAAGCGATCAGACCTCTATGCAGTGGAGGCGAAAAAGCCCTAAGGTTTATGTTTCTAACATGTCACGAAACAGGAGGATATGTTTCTACAACGTAATCCATTCCCTGCTGAATTCTTTAAAGAGATCTTTTTTTTTTTTTAATTTCAGCTTTTTCCCCTTCCTGGGAACTTTCTAATGAGATGATGGAGCATCAGCACATGGTATTTTTCACACCATATTAAATAGTTAAAAAGGACTCAGGCTGGCATTGAGAGCAGAAGGAAGAGGGGATGACTATATACCTCCCATACTAAGTTGCCTCATAGTAGTTGGTAAAAGTATCAGACCTTGGTATCTAGGTTGATTCACCTGCTACAAATACATTTGTGTCACACACACCTCTCATCTCATTGCTGGAGTTGGAACCCATTATGTAGAAACTTGGTCTGGTGCTATAGTTTTTTGGAGCAGGATGTTAAAGTTACATTTTTAGTCTGTGAGTAGCTATGGGAAGCAAGGTGATGGACCCTTGGTGTTTGCTAGAGGAGATGGCAGCCCCAGTCCTTCCTAGCAGCCTGGAGGTTCTTCAGATTCAAGGAGGAGCTCATGAATCAAGCCCAGACCCTCCTGGTCTTAGGGGAGAGGCTGTGTCAACAGTGAGTCCTATGGGGGAATGACTGGTGGCCTTTGGTCAAGGCAACCAAAGATGAGTCTCTGCAAAAGATTTTCTTGATGGGGTGAGTGTCTGAAAATCTTTTTCTTTTTGTTTTTCTCCCTAGTAACACTTTCTAGCTTGATAAAGGCAAATTTTTAGCCTAGTGGTTTTCAGAATCCTTTTGCACCATTAAAAATTAAGAATTCCAATGAACTTTATTTTTATGTATGTTATATGTTGGGCTGGTAAAACGTTTAACAACCAGCTGTCCCCCAAACCCTGATTTTGCAGTAGCATTTGCCAGTTTCCATGGTGTAAATACTTGCACTGTGGCCAAGGCTCAGACTGTCAGTATGACATCTCTAAACAGAGTTGGAAATACGCGCAGTTAGCACTCGTGAGCTGGAGCCGTCCCACACTAGCACACCACTGTTTACATATATATTTACCATCCTGGAAAATAAAACAAAATTTTAAAACAAAAGAATGCATGGGCACACATTTTATTAGCTATAAGAGTAATGACATCATCATGTCATTTAACCTTTGGAAACCAGCATTGTATACTCAGGAATACAAGAATGAAAAAGGTAAATGACATTTTAAAATTAAGTATACAATTTGGTAAAATCGGACACATGTATACATCCATGAAACCACTCTAATCAAGATAATGAACAACTCTCGCCTCCCGCCTCCTTGCAATTTTCTTGTGTTCTTGTATAATCCCCTCTAGCTACCCTTCTCACCCCCAGGCAGTCACTGATCAGCTTTGTCACTGTAGATAGGTTTGAATTTTCTGTCATTACCTAAAAGTGGAATCATACCTAATGTGTATACTTTTCTGTCTTCTTTCACTCATCATGATTATTTGGAGACTCATCCCTGTGTGTGTCACTCATTTCTTTTTTATTGCTGAGTGGTAGACCATTATATGGATATACCATAATTTGATAGACATTTGAGTTTCCAGTTTTTGGCTATTAGAAATAAAGCTGCTAAAAACATTTTGTACAAGTTGTTCGTTTTTCTTTTTTTTTTTTTTAAAGATTTTATTTATTTATTTGAGAGAGAGAGAATGAGAGAGAGCACATGAGAAGGGGGAGGGTCAGAGGGAGAAGCAGACTCCCCGCCCAGCAGGGAGCCCGATGTGGGACTCGATCCCGGGACTCCAGGATCATGACCTGAGCCGAAGGCAGTCGCTTAACCGACTGAGCCACCCAGGCGCCCCCAAGTTGTTCGTTTTTCTTGAGTAATTATCTAGGAGTGGAATGGTGGGGTCCTATGTGTATTTCACTGCCAAACTGTTCTCCAAAGTGACTGCCATTTTACTTCATCACCATCAGTCTGTCAGTGTCCCAGGTGCTCCACGTCCTCACCAATATTTGGTATGATGACTGTTTAAGTTTAGCCATTTTAATGTGTGTGTAAGGTTATTTCATTGTGGTATTTTTGCTTTGTATTTCCCTAATGACTAATAATGCTGAGCATCTTTTCATGTGCTTTGCTATCTGAGTATCCCTTTTGGTGAAATGTCTGTTCATAGCTTTTCCCCATATTTTTGTTGGGTGTTTATCCTCCTATTGATTAGTAAGAGTTCTTTCTATACTCAAGATAAAAATCCTCTGTCAGATACTATGTTTTGCAAATATATTCTCCAAGTCTGAGAAAAAAAAATGTCTTTTCATTTTTTAAAAAGTATTGTTTAAAGCAGTTTTTAATTACCATGAAGGCCAGTTAATTGCTTTTTCTTCTTTTAAAAGTTTGTCTTTTTTATGTTGTATTTAAGAAATTGCCAAACCTGATGTCACTAACTTTATCCTGTGTTTTCTTTTGGAAGTTTTACAGTCTTAGCTCTTATATTGAGGTCTCGGATCCATTTTGAATGGTCAATTTTCTATACATGGTGTGAGGTAAGAGTCAAGATGCTTTTTGGGGCACCTGGGTGGCACCATTGGTTGAGCATCTGACTCTAGGTTTCGGCTCAGGTCATGATCTCAGGGTCCTGGGATCGAGCCCTGTGTCAGGCTGCGCACTCAGCATGGAGTCTACTTGAGATTCTCTCCCTCTGCAACTCCCGCTGGTGCTGTCTCTCTCTCTTTCTAAAATAAATAAAATCTTAAAAAAAATGAGTCAAGATTCTTTTCTTTTTTTTTTTTTAGCCTAAGGTTATCTGTTCCAGCACATTTGTTGAAAAGCTTACCCTATTCCCATTGAATTGCCTTGGCACCTTTATGAAAAATGAATTGGCTGTATATATCTCGATCTACCTCTGTGTTCTGTTTCATCAATGTATTCATCTATTTTTACAGAGTAACTTACTGTGTTGATTATTGTAGCTTTATAATATTAAAGTCTGGTGGTATTAGTCCTCCAGCTTTTTTCAAAATTGTTTTGGTTATTCTAAGTCCTTTGTATTTCCATATAAATTCCAGAATCAGGTTGTAAATTTCTATAGAAAAAAAGCCTGCTGGGATCTTGATTAGGATTGCATTGAATCTATAGAGCAGTTTGGTGGAAAATTGACATCTTAATATCAAACCCGTGAACGTGAGATATGTCCTCAGTTATTTAGGCCTTTAATTTCTCTTAGCAATGTTTGTTTGCTTCTGTAAAGGTAATATATATCTTTTGTCAGATTTATCCATAGAGGCTACAGATTTTTTTGATGCTGTAGTATTGTTTTGTAAACTTTAATTTCCAATTTTTCACTGCTAGTAAAAATAAAATTTATTCCTGTATTTGATCTTATATCTTGCAACCTCACTAAACTCACTTACTCTAGCAGCTTTTTTGGGGTAGAGTCCATATGGTTTTTTACATAGATGATCATGTCTGCAAATAAAGACATTTTGTAAAATAAATATGCTTTTTCCTTTCCAATCTGGTTCCTGTTTGTTCATTCATTCATTCATTCATTTTTGGCCTGTGGCATTGGCTAGAAGTTCCAGAACAGTGTTGAATAGAAGTAGTGAGTGGACTTAAGTTGTGTTGGTCCTGATCTTAGAGAAAAAAATTTAGCCTTTCATAGATGCCCTCTATTACATTGGGGAAATTCCTTTTTATTCCTAGTTTGGTGAGAGTTTTTATCAGGATAGGATGCTGGGTTTTTTTAGATTCCTTTTCAGTCTTTATTGAGACAAACATGTCTTTTTTTCCTTCTTTAGGCTATTTATATTGTGAATTACATTGATTGATTTTGGAGTTATAAAACCAACCTTTCATTCTTGGGATAAACTTCACTTGACCATAATGAATTATTGTTGGATTTGATTTGCTAACATTTGAATTTTTGCATCTGTGTTCATAAGGGAGTTTGGTCTGTAGTTTTCTTGTAATATCTCTTTCTGGTTTAGGTACCAGGATCTGCTGCCTCCTAAAATGACTTGGAAAGTGAGGCGCCTGGGTAGCGCAGTCAGTTGGGCATCTGACTCTTGGTTTTGGCTCAGGTTGTGATCTCAGGGTCAGGAGATCGGGCCGCATATGGGCCTCTGCATGTGGCAGGGAGAAGCTTGGGACTCTCTTTCTCCTCTCCCTCTGTCCCTTCCCCTCATACTCTCTCTCAAATAAATCTTTAGAACATTTTTAAAAAATGACTTGGAAAGTATTTCCTTCTCTTCAGTGGTCTGAGAGAGTTGTGTGGTAATTTGCATCTTGTCTCTTGATTTTGATTATTCTTGTTGGAGGTTTATCAATTTTATTGAACTTTTCATAGAACCATATTTTGATTCCATTGTTTTTTTTTAAATCTCTTTTTTAGATTTGATTTCATTGATTTCTGCTTATTTATTTTCTTCTGCTTACTTTGTGTTTCATTTGCTCTTACTTTTTCTAGTTTCTTAAAGTGTATACTGAATATCTTTGATTGGAGACTTTTCCTTCTTTCCAGTATAGGCGTTTAGTGGTATAAATGGCACAGGATTGCTTTAATTGCATCCCCAACCTTTTGATACGTTGTGTTTTCCTTGTCATTCAATTTAAAATCCTAACTTCTCTTTGTCATCTTCTGTGATCCAAGCGTTATGTTATTTAGTTTCTAAATATTTGGGAGATTTTCCAAATCTTTCTGTTACTGATTTCTAAATTGATTCCACTGTGGCCAAATAACATACTTTTACAATTTGAATCGTATTAAATTTATTGAGACTGTTTATGGGCCAGAGTATGCTCTATCTTAGTAAATGTTCCATGTGCAGGTGGAAAGAATGTATATTTTGCTGTTTAGGTATTCTATAAATGTCAGTTAGGTCACATTGGGTGATAATGTTTTTATCTTTTATATCTGTATTGATTTTCTAATTTTTCGATCAATTAACAGGGGTGTTGATAGCTCTGATTATAATTGTGGATTTGTTTATCATTATACTTCTATCAGTTTTTGCTTCATGTTTTTTGAAGCTCTCTTATTAGGTGCATCAATATTTAGGGCTGTTAAATCATCTTGCTGAATAGACCCTTTTTCCATTATGAAGCAAGTATCTATTTTTTGCCCTAAAGTGACTTTGTCTGATATTAATAATGCCAGTCTTTCTTTTGATTAGTATTAACATGATTTATCTTTTTCCATTTTTCCTTTTAATTTTAACCTCTTTGTGTCTTCAGGATGGTTGGTTTGTTATTTATTTTAGAGAAAAAGAGCGAATGGGATGGGGGAGGGGCAGAGGGAGAGGGAGAGAGAGAATCTCAAGCAGGCTCCACACACAGCACAGAGCCCAATGCGGGGCTTGATCCCATGACCCTGAGATTATGACCTTAGCTGAAATAGAGAGTCGGATGCTTAACCAGCTGAGCCACCGAGGTGCCCCATGTGTCTTCATGTTTAAAGTGGGTTTCTGTTAAGCAGCATATAGCTTGGTCATGCATTTTTATCTAGTTAGACAATTTCTTAATTGGGGTATTTAGGCCATTTACGGTCATTGTGATTACTGATATGGCTGGATTTAAATCTACCATCTTTTTATTTTGTATTTATCCCATTTGTTCTTTGTTTCCTTTTTCTTCCTATTCTTTCTCTTGGATTAAATACTCTTCTGTGGTATACTTTATCTCCTTTGTTGGATTATAAATCATAATTTTTTATTGTGTTATTTTACTTTTTGCTTTATGGTTTATAGTATATATTCTTAACGTCACAGTCAACCTTCAAGTATTATGTCAATTGACATGTAAGAATCTTAAAGTAGTATACTTCATTTTATTCCTTTCTTTGTATTGTCATACACTGTACTTCAGCATATGTATGAACCCCACAATATATTGCTATTTTTGTTTTAAACACCCAGTAATCTTTTAAAGATACTTAAAAAGCAAGTAAAAAAAAAAAAGCAAGTAAACATCTTTTGTAGCCAACATATTACCATCTCTGGTACTCTTCATTAGAGTAGATCCTTTGTTTTTCTGTTTGAAGCACTTCCTTTAACATTTTAGGTAGCGTAGGTCTGCTGGTGATTTATTCTTTCAGCTTTTGTATATCTGAAAAGTTTTTATTATGCTTTCATTTTTTAAAATATATTTTTACTGATTATAGAATTCACCTTTTCTTTCCTTTGAATACTTTAAATATGCTGCTACGCTGTATTCTGGCTTGCATTCCAGAGGCAAAGTGTACTGTCATTATTATCCTTTGTCCCTCTCTGTAATGTCTGTTTCTCCTCTGTGCTTTTAAGATTTTTCTCTTCATCATTAATTTTATAGAACTTGATTACGATGTGCTTTAATGCAGTTTTTTTTTTCCCATGTGTCCTGTGCTTACGAGTTCTTTGTGATTTGTGCATCCTTGGTTTTATAATTTTCATCAAATTTAGAACATTATCAGCTAGGATTTCTTAAAGTGTTATGAACCCTTCCCTAATTATATATACATCAGGTTGCTTGAAATTGTC